CCGCGGGTGCGGGGGAAGGCTGGCCCCAGCGGAGCCTGTACCTGAGGCATCATCCTGTTGTCTGCAGCTGCAGAAAATAAATAATGGGGGGAGCTTCATCCCTAGAAGTCTGGCCCCTTGCCCGCTCTGTTAGCAGGGAGCAAGCTATTCCATGCACCGAAGTGGGAAGTGCGAGGCAGGGCGTTAGTCTGTGAGCTGCTGTGGGACAGCAAAGCCACAGCCGGCAGCACCGGGCACCTCACAGACCCTCAGTGGCAGGAGGGGCCTGGGGCATCGTGCTCACCCAGGCGGCATGGGGCCAGGGTGCTGGCTGTCACCTCCCCGAGGCGTGTTACTTTGCAACCCACTCCCCAACCTCTCCCTGACGTTTCTAAGCAGAGGAAACCACCACCGCCAGGCAGCTTCCTCCCAGCCACTTTCGAAATAGTGGGGTGGCTGTTGCCATCGCCCATGAGAGCCTTCTGCCGCCCCTCTGGGAGAGGACCCAAGCAGAGTTTGCTGTTTCCCATGGGGCTTCTGCAATGCCTGGTGGCTGCCTTCCTCCTCCTCCTCTTCACAGGTGAGTGCCCTGCCCGATGGCAGAGGCTTTCCTGAGGCAAGCAAGGGGGAATTAAAGTACCTGGGGCTGGGAGCAGCACCTGCATGGATCAGAGGTGCGGGCTGTCTCCTCGGCCACTTTGCCTTCCTAAAGTGGGCAGATGGGACCTTTGCAAGTGGGTGGCTCAGCAGGGTGCTTTGCTGGGGCTGCAGGGCCAGGATGGCTCTGCTGTGGCTAGCACTGCTCTGGCTCAGTGGCCATGGGGGAAGGTGCAGCAGTACGTTCTCCTTTTGGTACTGTGGTTTCACTCCAAAGGATAGCCCAGACCCTGGCAGCATTTTGGTGAGGGGACATGCACGCCCCTGTTGCGCAGCTGCTGGAAGTGCGGAGGAGGTTACCTGACCCCCACTTCTCTTGGGATGGGGGTTCTGAGGGTTTCTTAGGGTGTGCTGCTACCAGCTCCCTTCCCTGGCCTGGTCTTCATGGTTGGGTTTTGACTCAGTGCCCAGGTCCTGTGGGCATTTTGCTTGGTGTGCACACTGGGCACCAGAATAGAGCGAAGCATCACTGTGAGCTCTGCGGGAGGGGAGGGTGAATAGGTGGCCATCACCTCCCTAAACACGCTGCCGACAGAAATGGAGCGAGTCTTTGATGCCTTTCGGTGCCCCTTCCTTTTGGAGGAGCGCTTGCTGGCCCCTCTCCCATGCCCTCCCTGTTTCTGTTCGTGCAGCACCTCTGCATCACCCAGCCTGCCTGTTCCCTCTGCTGTCCCATGTCCCTTGGCTTCTGTGTTGCATCTTCTTCTCTGGCCATGGTCAGCTCTTGGCACCTGCTCTCTTCCCCCCCACCCCCTAGCTTGTGCAGGACCTGAGTGCTTCGTCCTCTTAATTTTAACATACCACAAGCTTCCTGCAATGATCTCCGCCTGGTTGCTGGTCCCTCTGAACAGCTGGCTGAGAGATGCTCTCCAGCCATGAACAGGCTTGACAGCCCTCTGGCCATGATTCTCTGGTCTCTGTCGTGTGACCCAGTGTGCTAGGAGACAAGAAAGTTTGGAGGTCTGTTGTTACAGGACTTGTTCTTAAAATTGCAAGGGGTGTGAAGTCCTTTGGACTTCATGCTTCAAAGGATAAGACTGCACAGCAATTCTTTTCAGTATTACACTGCAGCCCTGTGCACATCCAGACCCAACTGCCATCTTGGTTGTGCAGCCCTCGGGTAGCGTATACCCCTGCAGACACCGCATGTGGCGACTGTTTGCCAGCAGGTTTGGGCACTGGCCAACGGGTGGTGACTGTTCAGAAGGGGCCCCTGTACCGTGTGAGGGGCTCCCACGTCACACTGTGGTGCAAGGTGAGCGGCTACCAGGGCCCGGCGGAGCAGAACTTCCAGTGGTCCATCTACCTGCCCTCGGCCCCCGAGCGGGAGGTGCAGATCGTCAGCACCGTCGACCCCTCCTTCCCCTACGCCATCTACACCCAGCGGGTGCGCAGCCGGGGGATCTACGTGGAGCGGGTGCAGGGGGATGCCGTCCTGCTGCACATCACCGAGCTGCAGGACCGGGACGCTGGGGAGTACGAGTGCCACACGCCCAACACCGATGAGAGGTACTTTGGGAGTTACAGCGCCAAGACGAACCTCTCAGGTGGGTTCCGAAAGAGAGTTTTGCTCCCTCCCAGGCAGGGGTGCAGGCAGGTTTCGACTGTCCCCACCTTTGCTCTGGGGGGAGGTGCTTGTCTCTAGGTCTCTGACAGAGAGGCAGCTGGGGAAAGGGGTGATTAATGGGACTGGTGGGCACAAATTTTCCTTCTCTCTCCACTGTGGGATTGCTATACTGCCCCAAGGGGCCAAGGTAGGGATGCCCAGATCGTAGAATCATAAAATCCTTGGGTTTAAGATGACCTTTAAAGGTCTCCCCACAGCCTTCTCTTCTTCAGGCTGAACAACTCCAACTCTCTCTGTCTTTCTTCATAGCAGAGGTGCTCCATCCCTCAGATGTCCCCTTGCAGGTTGCTCTGGCCATTCCTCCCAGCCAGGGCAAGGGAAGGGAGAGGAAGCCTCTGCTGTCCAATAGCCCAACTTTAACTTCAGTTCCTGATGCAGCCACAGGATTTCACTGCTAAGCGCTTAGGAGGGAGGGAGTTTTCAGGCTCTGTGTGTTAGCTGTTGGTGTCCTCTCAGGTCAGGGTATGGGACTTCACCCAAGCTGGATACCCACAGATAGAGGGAGGTAGCAGCTCCTGCAGAGCACTGGGGAGAGGGAACGCCACGGGGTGGAGAGGCAAAGGGAAAGGCCCTACTGTAATTTGCCAAGTCTACATGGTGGTATGGAACTTCCACTTGGTATTCACCTATTTCCTCCTTTATCCTGATGTTGTACCAGCCTGCACTTGGGGTTGTGAGGGGCTGGATGTTTATCTCCTTGGGGTTGCCTAATTAATACTGGCTGAAGAGGGTACTGCAGACAGATCCACTGTGCTTTCTTCCCTGCTGAGGTTTTAACCACTTCACACCTTGTCATAGGCTGATGGAAGCCATGTCAATCAGCTACAAAAGATATTTCTCCTATGCTGTCAGATCCCTTAGGGCCTGGCTGCAGTTTTGCAGTGGCTGACAGGTTGCCCGTCAAGGCCGAGAGACAATCTTTCCCATGACCTGCTGCTCTCTGTGTTTCTCCCCCATGCTCAGTGATCGCAGACACCCTCTCGGCTTCCATGGCACGCCAGGTCCTCACCCGTGCTGAAGAGGACCCAGTGGAGCTCACCTGCGAGGTGTCCAAGTCCACTGTCCAGCACACGCATCTCTCTGTTGGCTGGTACCATCTTCAGGGAACCGGAGAAAGCCATGCTGAGGAGGTCCTCACCCTCTCCAAAGACTTCGTCTTGAGGCCAGGGCCCTCTTACATGCAGAGGTTTCTGGCAGGGGTTGTGCAGCTGAACAAGGTGGGGAACACGACATACAAGCTCTCCATCAGGGGAGTGGAGCCGTCTGACCAGGGGCAGCTGTACTGTGAGGCGGCCGAGTGGATTCAGGATCCTGATGAAATGTGGAAAGACATCTCTCGCAAGCAAACGGGGAGGACGTCGCTGGCTGTCATGAGCCCAGGTAAGACCCTTGCAAACTCACACGTTGGCTCCAACTCCTTTGTGCATTCTAGGCTCTACAGCAGCAGCCTTCAGTGGCCTTCGCCTGCCTCCGCCACAGCCCGGGGACCCACTGGTGGGTCTGGCTGCATCTGCCAGGCACTGAAGCGGGTGGGCTGGGCTCAGGGCCATGGCAGCCCCTGTTTTGGGAGCTGTTGGTGCATCTTGCTTTGGAGGTTTACATAGCTGAGTCTCTGACGCTGGCAGCGATCATGCAACCTCACAGGCTCACGCAAGGTGTTAGCAGAGAGAGAGCAGCCTGTGACCGCAGCAGCCTGGCTCCTTGGCAGCATTACATTCCAGTGTGCAGAAAACCATGTTGTTAGACTGCCTTGAGGGTGTCTCAGCCTCAAAAACTGAAGTACGTAAGTCAAGTGCCCATCATGGTGCCTTGGCCATGGGCACAGAGGGACATGGGGATGCACTGCGTATGCTGCATGTCTCTGGTGTCTGCTGGAGGTGGCTTGTCTGTCTGTGCTGTCATGAGTCTGCTGGCCTGGGCTTTGTGTTTGCTGCCACTCCTCCGAGTGCCCTGCCTGCCATCCCCCCTGCTGCAAGCCCTTTGCTGGCTGCGGACCCTCACCCTGCTCTTCCTCCAGCTGCATGGGTAGCTGTGCCCAGAGGAAGGGAAAAATGTCTCTTTCCCCCACCCTTTGAGTTTCACCTCAAAGGAGCCAAGGCAAGGCTGTGTCTAATTGATGCCCTTTAAGATAGGCAGTAGATGGGAGCAAGTCTCTCACAGAAAAGATGCCTGGGGAGGTGGTGTACCCTGTCCCCACACCTCGGGGCAGATGGAGGAGGCTGCAGAGCTGGGGTGGTGAGGGGAACTACTGTCTCGAGGGAGGGTAGTGAGTCACAGCAGGAAGCCAAAGAAACGGATGGGTAAGGACCAAAAACCCTGTGTGCAGCTTAAGGGTGCAAGGTACCATGGGGAGGGGAGGGAAGTGCAGTCTCCCACTGTCAGAGCCTGGTTCCCAAAACCTGGCTGACTGGTAAAGCTTTTTCCCCCTTATTATGCACTGTTTGCAACAATGCCTTTCCATACCTGCTGCTGCCTGGCAAGCAATAGCAGTCAGTGTGCTTTCCTGCATCTGCTTGTTTAAGAGGGTTCACCATGACCGGTAGTGTGTGGTTTTGTGTACTGGTGCCACATGATTGCTTAGAAATAGAAAAACCTTGTCAGAGTTTAATATTTGCATGGTGGTAGCCATCAAGGGTAGAAGGGAGGCAATGGTGATAAGAGGACAACATGGTGGTTGTATTAGAGCTGCTGGTATTGCCAGAGGGAAACGGTGGCAGGCGTACGAGCCCTCCATCACATCTGCAGGGCTGGGGGCTCCCTCCAGAGACCTGTGGGAAAGCCTGGGCTGTGGGGCTGAGCACCCCATTTCACCGGGAGCCAGTAACCACTCTGACTGCAGCCAACTGCTCCAGTATTTTCTATAAACTCTCCAGCAAATATTTGGGAATGCCAAACATATCTGCAGCAGCTGGGATTCCTGTTCACAAACTGTTTATGAACCAGTGTTTAAATTCACAGGGTACTCTACTTTCAATAAATTATTTGAGCCCTTCCGGTGGCAGTCTGGGAGCTGCTCTGTTTTACCTCCAAACCACAGTTCATAGCCTTGCTCTTGTTGTTAAACACGGTGGGCAGCACAGTGACCCAGCGGTGTGAGCCAGGCTGCCTGCCCCAGGAGTCGGGGCTCAGCCCTACCTCCTGTTTTTCAGCTGTGACACTGCTGTGTGGGGTCACGGCACAGGGTTTCAGGGTACCCTGTGAGTCTCTGCCTGCAGCCGCTCTTCAGCTGGGCTGAAGCTGGGAACCAGGGTGCATTAGTGACAGAGGCTTTGAATGTCCCATGAGGAAGGTGAATCCTATCACAGGACCCAGATACAGGGTCCTTATCTCAGGTGCAGCTGACTGCCCAAGAGGGTCTGCCAAGGAGAAGATGGCTTTGTGTTCCCCCTCTTTGCTCGACACCTAATGCTGGTTGGTATGGGGGGCAAGACAGGGGCTAGGACGTGACCTCCACCTCCTCTTGCTTCCCTCCAGCCACCCCATGCTGTGATAAGTCTTGACATTTCCGCTTTCTGTAGGAACTAACCCAAAACCTCTCCAACTTGGAGAGCATCTCTTGCCCACATCCTGCAACAGTCAGTGAGGGCTGCAGAATGTGGGACCAGCAGCATCAGATTTAGACAAGCAGCTTGTATGCCAGTCCTCCACGTGCCTTCTCCCACCACAGACAGCAGAGTTAAAAACACTGCTGAGTGATAAAGCCCCTTTTGTGCCCCTTTCTGGTTTAAAGGGATATTTGTTACATGAAGCAGAACAGCTCCAGGAGGCAAGATGGAGCAGCCCCCCGCAAAAGCTGATGCCCCTGGGTTAGGGCAGCTCTCTGTTCGGATGCCTGAGCTGAGGTGGGGTGGCTGTGTCCCAAGGCCATCTGGGTGGGTGCTCTGCTTTGGGAGGGTTAGCTTCTCCGAAGGGGGGATCTTCAGGGCGCTGGTGCTTCCTCCACCTGTGACTGCTGGTTAGTGCCTGGAGCTGGCAACTGTCCCCCCACAGGCAAAATTTTCCATCCTGATCACTTTTCTAATGAAAGAAAATGTCTCAATAGCGAATTCCCTCCCATTTCTCTCTGCATGGCCATTGGTGCTGCCAGGCAGGAGGGAAGTGTGGGCAGGGTCACCTAACATCCTCTTTGCTTTTGATTGCCTACAGACAGACACCTCTCCGTGGATATCACTGCTGCTGAAAGCTCCCTTTCTGAAGGAGATACCTTGCAGTTAAATTGCATGGTGGGAGCCCAGAAGAGCAGCAGGCATTTCCAAGTGCTTTGGCTCCTCAATAGTGTGGAAGTGGCCAGGGTTGACCCCCATGGGGTATTGATTTGGGAGGAAGAATATGAGGAGAGAGCCAAGCTGGGGCAGCTCCGAGCATTCAAGCAAAGCAACACGGTTTATGTCCTCACCATCTATGAGGTGGGACTGAAGGACAGCGGTACGTACCACTGCTCTGTTTCGGAGGTGAAGACTCCTGGAGACTTTCACAGCATCCAAACCAATATGTCATCAGACATCCAAGTCGATGTAAAGCCAATAGGTTAGTAAATCCGAATGGCTGCTCCTCTAGGTAAAGCCTGCAGTGATCTCTGACTGGGGAACACTTCAAGTTTGGCCTCATCTTGGCAGGGGCAACATACCTGCTGTTTGCTGCAAGAATGCCAATGTGCCATAGATTTTGGTAGATGATCATGGGAAAAGCATTTGCTCTGGCAAATGGTAGCATGATAGATGCAGCAGCTATCAGCAAAGTGTAAACTCAGTCTCTTTGCAATGAGTTTTGGGGAAAATAGGTAGAGTTCTGCAGAGATTGGGTCCTCCTTTGTCTTTGGCACAGAAAATTGTAAGCAATGCCTGTTGCTACTCCTGAGGGTCACAGGATGACCCAGCAGAACAGGTACTTCTGGATGGAGGGGATCATTGCAGTTTCCATCAGTGTTCTCCCTGTGTTTTGGAGGGATGACTTGAGAAACCACTCTAAGATGTGTAGGAGACTCTTGGTTTCCTTGTCATAGCTAGACAATGACTATCCTGATGTAGCAGGAGCTGCCTGTTTAAGGCAGAGCTTCCTACTCTATTTCTTAAGTATGTCTTTAGGTATCCACGTCCCAGGAAAGACATTAAAGAAGGAAGAAAAAAACCCAAACCACAAAGCCCTCTCCAAAGTTATGAGAAAAGGCTGGTTGAAAATTTCAGACAATTCCTTTCCTTTTCCAATGTCAAGATTTATCTAGTCTATCTGTTTAATGCCACAGTATCTCTGGTTTTCTCTGAGGAGCACAACAACGTCCCCTCCCACGCAGTAACTGTTTTTTGCAGTGAGCCGCATGCGCCTGTCTGTGTCCACCAGCACGCCACGGGTCATGGTGGGAGATGCCTTGATTCTCTTCTGCGAGGTGCAAGGAGCAATTAGCCCTGTGTCTGTGCAGTGGTGGCACCTGCCACCACAGCATCCGGGTCCTCGGGTGCTGGTGGCCACCATGGAGCAGGATGGGACCATGAGCCTGGGCAGCACCTACCAGGACAGCAGGACTTGGGGGAGCCTCCGGCTAGAGAAGCTGAGCGCTGGTACTTTCACCCTGGTGATCCCCAACACTTTGGATGAGGGTGACGGTGGGCAGTACTGGTGTGAAGCGACAGAGTGGTCCCGAAGCCAGAGCCGGACAGAGGAGGGGGAGACAGCGGTGACAGTCAGCTCCATGGGTGAGTTGGGCCACCCCTATTTCTAGGCTTTCAAGCTGGACGTGCTGGAGGCAAGGCTTGGAGAAGCAACTGGACACATGTGGGTAGGACAGAGGTCTGCTGTGCCCTGAGCTCTGCTGCTGCTGCAGGGTGACCTAAGGCTGATCACTTGGCCCTGGAGTGCCTCATTTTCCCCATTTCTAGCAGGATATTCAAGTCCTCCCTGAGATGTTTTGGGAGAGACAAGTGGGACACAAAGTGCCCAGAGACCTAAAAGGCAACGGCTTGCTCAGCAGGTCTTTCTGACTGTCTCCTTAACTTGAAATACAAAATATCTGTTCTAGCAGCATAATTAATTACAGTAATTAAGCTCAAGGAAGGCACTTGCTGACTTGTATGGTGGCCTTTCAGAGATACATCCTGGTGCTGGCATCTGATCACTTCTCCTGCCCTCCTGTCTGAGCACAGAGCCGCTAACCCTCCCTGGCGTGCAACCCCCACACCGTTTCTTCTTTTGATCGCTGGAATGGGTGCCTTTATGGAGAGGCAGCTTTTGGTTGTGATTTAGAGCGGTTTTCCTTTCTTATTGCTGGGCCTGGGTGCCTGAGAGCACTGGTTGGGCCACAGGAGTTTTTAGGCTTTTGTGGAGGGTGGACAGAAGCAGCAAACAGGGAAGCAGCATCAGCAGAGGATCCTCGGCTCCCTGCCATGGGATGGGACTGGGGAGCCTGGAAGAGAGGGTTGCCTAGGGGGGCTGGGGAGTGGGAGAGCAGGGACAAGGTAGGAGAGCTCTCGGGGAGAGCAGCACCGGCAGAGGAACAGCAGGACTGCTGGCTGCCATGGGGTTGCAGTGGCTGGTGTGGCGGGGATGGCGCTGCATCGAGAGGGTGGTGGCATGGGGCAGGGTTCCTGTCCTGGCGCCAAGGGCTTTCTCCTCCCAAGCAGGTCTCGGTCTGCACGCCATGCTGAGGAGCCGAATTGCCACCGTCAGATATGGGCAGAGTTTTGAACTTGTCTGCCAAGTGAACGCCAACTATACCCTCGAGGAGGTGCCGGTGTCCGTGGGGTGGCTCTTCCAGCCCAGCCCGCCTGCCGGCCACTACCAGAAGCTGGTCCAGGTCCTTCCCAGTGGCACCATGGCCTGGGGGGAAGCGCAGCCACAGTTCCAGGGGAAAGCCCAGCTGACGAAGGCTGCCACCTCCTTCAGGCTGTACATCCACCGTGCTGTGGCTGCCCATGAGGGGACGTACCAGTGTGAGGGGGGGGGCTGGAAGCGGCATGGTCTGGCACCTCGGGGGCAGCCGGCAGCCACCGCCAGGTCCAACGCTGTGGGGATAAAGGTGGTGCTGCCAGGTAAGCAGTGCCATGAACGCTTTTTCAGCAGGGATCTCTCCTTCTGCAACTTTAAATCCATCAAATGTGACCAGGGGCAACCAGAACCACTGATCGCTCAGGTGTGCCCAGCCGGGTCACCCTCTGGGGCCGCATGAGGCGGTGCTGCCTGTCCTGTTTCTTCCTCAGCACCCATGGCTCCTGACAATTGGTGGTGGGGAGTGGCTATTTGTTTGCAAATGATGCCAAGCATATAGGGATCAGCCTTGACACTAGGATTTTAAGCCTTGTTTCTGGGAAGAAGTATTCCCCCCCAAGGAGCCTGCTTGAATGCTAGGGGTGCAAGGTATCTCCCATGGTGTGGGCTTCTGCGGGGCTGTGGGGTGGTAGGGAGAGACTAGCCCCCAAAGCTGCTGCTAGGGAGATGTCAACATCCCCCTGAGCTTCCCTCCATGTATTTGAGGTGCGCTGAGAAAGCATCAGGGCTCACTGCTGGGCTGGGAGCCATCGCTGAGCCACAAGGTGCCAGGGGCTCTGGGTGGAGATATCTCCCCCCAGGCTGGGCTGCGCAGCCAGGGACCATGCTCGGGGTTGCCTTTTACGGCCACCTCTGCAGGCAGGGTCTG